CCTCGCTCTCTCCCTCCCGTGCAGCTGGAGCGGGTCCGCACGTCAGGTACGCCACGACGCCGCGCGCCCGGCGTCGGCCGCGCGGCGGTGTGCGCTAATTAATGGGGGTGGGCGGCCGGACTGACAGTCATACACGATACACACGGCTCAGCCTGTCGGCGAGCCGGCTCGCAGCTGAGGGCCGCCGGCTGGCGCGGCCGCCGCGGCCTGGGGGCCGGCCGCTTGTGCTCCGCTGGGAGTGGCTCTTGCGGGGCGTCTGAGATACTGTCGCGCGCTGACGTCCCGCGGACAGGAACTGCCCCACCTTCGACTTCTGTGGTGCTTTCTAGACGTTTACCTTGTCTGATCCGTGTAAATGCTTTCTGATGGCTTGACGCAAGGGTGTAGATTCGGAAAGTGAGCTGAGGTGGGTAAACGGTGAAAAATTATGAACTCTGCCCCCAAATTTCGCCTACAAACGGTGTTCTCTTCATATTGGGTCCGCTTTTTCTCTTAAGGTTAATGTTCGGGAGCGAGGGAGCTGGGGTCTTTGTTTGGAAGAGCTGAAGCCTTCCGCCCTCCCCAACTGAAAAGGAAACTACACCCTAACCCTGGCTTGACGTTTTCACCGACGGAACTATTGAGAGCAGGATGCTTTACACTCAGGCAGCCTCAATCAAGTGTGGTTCGCGCTCGATAGAGCCGACTTCTTCCTCAGGCCCCAGGCACCTCCTTTCATTTACCAGGTACACAAATATGATGGGTATCTAGTTGTATGCAAGGCATGGTTTAAGTTACCACCACAGCGTGTAAGACGGACTAGATTACTCGCAATACTGGCGTACGAAAAGAGCTGGGATTACAGGCAGGCAAAGCAGAACCGGAATGTTGCATTAACTGACAGCACAGCGTGGGCTAACACAGCTGCGATTCCACATTTTGAAGCGGGCATTCGCAAATTAAACGCACGATTCTTAGCGCTTTGTGTTTGCGCCGTGTTCGTGTTTGGTCTGCTGTCCGGTTTGAGCTTCATTCAAATGACAAGCTCCAGCTGTGTTCCCGCCACTGGACCCGCACAAGAACGTCTTAGCTCGGCAAATACCGCGCTGTCAGCTCCCGCAGCCGCTATCCGAGGCATCATCATTACGTCTCATTTTATTTACTGCCGCTCCGACCAGCGGGGTAGCTCGTTAAGACAAAGAGAGACGATAAAGCCGTCATAAAAGCGTTGCTTAGCCGGTGACGACTAAGTCGGGTGCAGCGGAGTGTTACCAGGGAGCCGATCTGGACGTGGCCGGTGTTGCCTGGCAAGCTTGGTGCGCAAGCTGGGACTGGGGCTGGGGCTTGGGCTGGGGCCGGGGCTGGGGCTTGGGCTGGGGCTGGGGCTTGGGCTGAGGCTGGGGCCGGGGCTGGGGCTTGGGCTGAGGCTGGGGCCGGGGCCGGGGCCGGGGCCGGGGCCGGGGCCGGGGCCGGGGCCGGGGGCCGGGGCCGGGGCTGGGGTCGGGGCCGGGGGGCGGGGCCGGGGCCGGGGCTGGGGCTGGGGCTGGGGCTGGGGCTGGGGCTGGGGCTGGGACTGGGACTGGGGCTGGGACTGGGGCTTGGGCTGGGGCCGGGGCCGGGGCCGGGGCTGGGGTCGGGGCCGGGGGGCGGGGCCGGGGCCGGGGCTGGGGCTGGGGCTGGGGCTGGGGCTGGGGCTGGGGCTGAGGCTGGGGCTGGGACTGGGACTGGGACTGGGACTGGGACTGGGACTGGGACTGGGACTGGGGCTGGCGCTGGGGCTGAGGCTGGGGCTGGGGCTGGGGATGGGACTGGGACTGGGACTGGGACTGGAGCTGGGGCTGGGGGTGGGGCTGACGCTGTTGCTGTGACTCGAGCTGAGGCTGGAGCTGGGGCTGGGGCTGGGGCTGGGGCTGGGGCTGGGGCTGGACTGGGATTGAGACTGGGACTGGGACTGGGACTGGGACTGGGACTGGGACTGGGACTGGGACTGGGACTGGGACTGGGACTGGGACTGGGACTGGGACTGGGACTGGGACTGGGGCTGGGGCTGGGGGTGGGGGTGGGGCTGACGCTGTTGCTGTGGCTCGAGCTGAGGATGGGGCTGTGACTGAGGCTGGGGCTGGGGCTGGGGCTGGAGCTGGGGAGGTTCTGGGCTGGGTTTGCAGGCGGCCCTCGGGGTGTGCTGTGTGTGCAGCTTCTCTCAGCTGCGGCGAGACCTCGCTGGGCTATGGGAATACCGACCGGGACGGCCGAAGAGTGTGGAGTGCCCCACGGTGGGAGTGCGGTCCGAAGCGCTGGGAGTGGGGTAGAGTCCTGTGGCGTGCTGAGTGAAGTTCCAGAGTTCGATGGATGGAAAACAAAGCGGAGTCACTGAGAACGTGTGGAGTAGATAGAGTCGCAGAAAGCGATGGGAGCGAGTGGAATTACGGGGAGAATCTCTTGGAGGGAGAGAGGATACCGCTGGCGACGAGACAGGCGGGCAGAACACAACTGGATTGATATATCCGGAGGGGGACGCCGCTCAGTCTGTGAGGAATAGCCAGCACGCCATCTCCAACGAACCGTGTCGATAAAACGATTCCTTTATCGCTCCGCAGCCAGCCGGAAGCGTGGGATTATGTTTTGTGCCGGCTGCTGGCGGCGCCGTGCCGTCCGGGCGGGCTGCTCCCGGGGCGCCGGCCTATTGATTCTCCCCCGCCGGCCGGGCCGCCGCTGGCACCGCCGGCCGCAGAACAGGCAGCGCCATGGGCGCGCCGCCGCCGCCGCCGCCGCCGCCGCCGCCGCGCCGCCGCCGCCGCCGCCGCCGCCGCCCCAGGGCACAGCCGGAGACCAGGGGCGGGCCGGCCGACCGCGAGACCCCCGGGCGCGCCGTGCACGGCGGCGTGAGCGCGCGCGCGCCGGCGTGCATTAATGCTGGGCGTCGGGCCATGGGCGCGCCGCCGGCAGCGGTGGGTGGCTCGCCGGCGCCGCCGCCGCCGCCGCCGCCGCCGCTCCATTGGTATGCATTGGCGGCGTGTGCATGGTGCCGGGGCCGGCTGTTGGGTGCAGGGCGGCGGCCGGGCGGCGCCGGCGACCGCCGACGGCAGATGCTGCCCTTGCGTGCCTCGTCCCGGTACGGCGCAGCCCGGCCGCCATGTGCGGCGGTGGTGTGGGAGTCGGCGCGCCAGCGTAGACTGGAGAATGCCGCCGAGCAAGCCGGTGGGGCGTAGAGAAACTCGAGGCATGTGGAGGATTTGGCTACCACCAATGTCTCGGTGCAATGACAATGTTACACATACGTGTGTAGTGTTGGCGTTCATTCCAAACGCTCCCTGTATGAGTATATACTTGAGCACATGTGCAGGGTTCGTGGGTTTGAGGAGCACGGCCGAGATTAGATTCAAGATTTTATGTGACTAGCATGTGGTAGGATGACCGGCACGCATTTTATGCAAGGAGGAAGGAGCGGAGGAGATCCTTATGTTGTCAACTCGCACACCCTACTGATATATTCTCCGAATGCTCCGCACCCTTTGCTTATGATCTAGCATTCGCTGCCCCCTCTCGTCGCAGTTCTGTATTCATCACCGCAATTTTGTATTCATCTAAGCGAGCGCGGCGAGTCCTTGCTCTCGTCCTCCAAACATCTACTTCATCCACTTCGCAAGTTGTGGAGCGTCGGAGTTGACAACAAGTTTGTGTCGGTATACGAAAGCGGCGGTCTCTGGGGCCCCAGCTGAATGTCGTACGACGAAGAGCGTGGTCGTGGAGTCTGCTAGGCGATGCCGAGATGCTTGCTCCAGCCGCTCAAGAGATTCTATCTCGTCCATTGACTTTTTACACGATTTCAGGACCGCTGGCTTCTTTTTACGATAAACCCAACGCTTACCGATCACGAGCACAGCTTCAGAACGCCGAGTTTTCTTAATATGACAAATACTTTGTTGATAACCTAGTTTGGAGACTTCGATTCCGACCCAACTGACGTCATTTGCATGTTTCATCGCTAGGCGATGACGTATGTAAGTTGGTGGAGCTGCTCGTGTGAGAGGCACGCGACGTCGCACAGTCTCAGCAGATGAGTGCGTCGCAAAGCCCCAATGACACGTGTCAGCGATGACACGGTGGACAACAAACAATTGAAATGCAGACACTTGACAAACGGCCAAACATCTCCTTTCTATCCCCTTCGAGTTTTTCAGCCGTGTAGTGTAACGTATCATGCTGCCATGAATGATCGGAGCACGCCGTCGCTCCACTGTTCGCGCTGCCTAAGACGCCTGCCCCCTGGGGCGGGCCTGGCTGAAATGGGCGGTCGAGGCGGCCAGCCGCTGGGCAGCAGCGCAGGCGGCCGGGAGAGGCGGGAGGGGAGGCCTCTTGGACGACGCAGCCGTGGAGACGCAGCCGTGCGCCGTGGAGACCAGAGGCGCTGGACGCGGAAGTGGTCTGGGAGTGGTCAGAGGTGCCGTTGCACCGCGAGCAGTGACCGCGCCGTACTCAGTCACCTGGCTGCTGTGGAATTGGACAGTATGTATTTAGAGAGGGAGGGAGAGAGAGACGTATAAGCTGGGTGTCTGCGAGCGCGACCAGCGCTCATACGGGGTCAGCTCGGGCGTATCGCTATGAGCGGGTTCGTTGTGGTGAAATCAAGGCACCACAAAAGTACAGCAGATACTGCTTATTTACCGGGAACGTACACTGCGTGCTTAGTGTACCGGCATAGATACATTTCGTATGTTAATGATACGTTTCATCATGAGGCTCGACACGGCGCGGATTTGAAACCAGTCGCAAGCACACATTCTTCACAGAATAGACGCAATGAAGTGATGCAGTGCAGATGAAGAGTGCCAGATTCCCAAACTTCTGCACCGTTTTAGTGTTCGTTTGCTAGCGCTGTTAGTAACCGTGTTCCGCTGCCATTTCTCGACATGCAACCACATGTCTGTGCACTACAGCGGTGCGACGACCCTTGCACGGCCCGTACCATCCTGGAGCCACCCCTGCACATTGCTTACCCAGCTGCCTCTGCGCGCCGGCAGTGATGCTGGAAGAGTTCAAGACGATCCCGGTGGACACGGTGGCGGCGGTGGGTGACCAGGCCGTGCTGGAGTGCGCTCCGCCCAAGGGCGACCCGCCGCCGACCGTGCGGTGGCGCCTCAACGGCAGGACCGTCGACGTCTCCACGAGGAACAGGTCAGCCGCCGCGGTGGAGGCGGGGTGGACGTCTACATCAGGCATAGGTGGGGCTGATGTGCTGGTGGGATCAGCGTCGTGGCTTCTTGTGGCATATGACGTGTAACGCTGTTGAAGGGGATTCTGCTTCGGTGCTTGTTCGTGGGTTCTGTTGGCGTTCCTATGTGGATGTCTCATGCTGAACAAGATAGCTGTGATGAACCGCGCACGTCTAGAAACAAATGGGTACAGTGTGTCGACATTCATGGTGTGGAATATTATATATATATATATATATATATATATATATATATATATATATATATATATATATATACATATGACACATGTCTGATTGCGATAAGACTGCCATGCCATCTTAAACACGCGATTTAGCGGAAATTTAAAATGTTTTATTGACAAAAAAGGTGAAGAAACCGAGTTGGAACTGGACCCAGATTTCGACCGCCCGAAGTAAGAATTACACGAAACTGGCCTGTACTAACAAAGTATAAAAAGAACAATAATGCTCGCAAAAATCTGGACCGATAAGGGCAGACCAGCAGGTGCTATCGTGCGCAAACCATGGATCCGTACGTTTTCGGGCGTTCTGGGATTGGTACCGCACCTCAACCTTCACAGGAGAGTAAAAAATGAAACAAACCACGCGGTCTAAGCTGTTGTAACAGCCGAAATGTCGCGCATAAGTCTTAAAGCCCCCTCGAAATTTGGGTGCGCCAGTGAGAGCCCTGAGAACGGACAATATCCTCTGGAAGTGATGTCAAATGCAAGACACTGTGCCCTATACGGAGGCGGATTAAGTCATTCAAGCTACACATGTGTGTCATCTTGTTCACTATGACCAATATCCACCACAATTTTTTGCGTTTTTCAGCATCTCGATCACGATCACAGAAACTGCACCTAACTGTTAATCTATTGGTGCCCTCAACTAGAATTGCCGCTTCAGACCGGGTTACGAAAACTGTGAACGACTGGCTGACTGGTCTGTGTCTATTGCTCTTGGCTGCAGGGCCGTGGCAGGTTCCCCCCCCCCCCCCCCCGGTGAGCGGTGCCGTGACATGTGTCCGCCGGCGTACCGCAGGCTGCAGATCAAGCGCGAGGGGGACCTGGTGATCAACAGCGTCACCAAGTCGGACGCCGGCCGGTACACGTGTGAGGCGCACAACTACGCGGGCATGCACCGGCAGACGCCCCAGGCGACGCTCTCCGTGTACGGTGAGCACCGCGGCCGGCGCCGGGGTCAGCTGCCAGACCTGGCGCCAGTTCTCTCGAGAGGTGGCGCTCGCGGTGAGCGGGGGTGGTGAGCGCGTGCAGAAATCTCCGCGCGGAAAGGCTGCCCGCTCGCCGCGGTGTAAGCCGGGGTGTAGCTGTTAATGCGTTGTGCAAGAAATGTCATAGGTGTCTGCTGACATACAGTGTGTTGATGACCTCGTCAAACATCTCAAGTGCATCTGGCCAGAGCAGATGCCCCCGGAGGGCATCCCGCCGTAGTCCATCATAGACCACCGGAGGCCCGATGTTTAGTGATCTTGAAGAAGTGAAGTGGAGAAAGGTTGTTGGCCAAATGTTCTTTGTATCATTGTTGCTATGCGCAAGTGTCTCGTGGCTGGGAAAAAGCTCGGCCGTCATAGGTCATAGCTGCACTTGGTAAGTGACATTTTTCCCTGGTCCACACTACCCGGCCAGCATTCTTTGCTCGTACTCAGAAACATGTAAATAAGCTGATCAGTGCGACGTGTCCTCGGAAAATTGCAAACAGTGTCTTGCACGCTCTCGTTGCGTTATTGTTTGGTGTGATCGCGGTTGAAAACCCCGGGGGAAAACCTCGTCTGCAGGTCTGCGTCCTGATAAACCCCCTGTAAACCTCGAAAACCCAAAGCTGTGCATAGCGTGACAATGCAGCAGAGCTGCTCATCATAACTGGTTTTGTGCAGTTGCTATTCGATGAGGGATTTCGTGCACTAGGTGTGATTAAGTGACAACCACGAGAGATAAGTGTCAGCTTTCAGCTGAACATACGACATCATGAGCCATGCTGTATGGAAATAAACACCATCTTACTGCTCAGCTGCCACTGCTCGGCCGTGGGATACAAACGAGCGCGGCCTGTACTGGCGCTGTATTAACGAAACTCAAGGCTAGGTGTCATGTACCCACAAAGATCCGAGTCTTCGTGATGATGTTTATCCCCGACACCATGCCGGGACCATGTCAAAGCAGACCCCTCGCTTAGCATAAGGATATAAGGATTCATGACGCTCATTCCGACAATGGTCGGTCAGTTATGCCGGTGCCGCGAGACGACAGTGAGGACTTCATCAGTGTTTGGATGGCCAGCTGTTGTGTCTATATCTGCACTGTCGCCAACTAAATGAACGAAGAATATGGACACATCTGGTACGGCATAGTGCAAAGGTCAGATGCCAGCGGGTGATCACATGGACGTATACCCAATCATGATCCGTGCGGCAGGGTCATGACATGTCAACGCCAGCGGCCATATACGCTGCACCCTGCCAAGATGTGTCGGGTCGTGGGCGTCCGGAGCTAGCCGCATTCTCCCGCTGCCCCTATGCATCTCATTCTTCGATTCGATCAGCCACGTCGCATTTCGCGTCCAGCGAAATCGTTCCAATCGGTGTTTTTCCTTGGCGACGCCCGGAGCGCGGCTAAATCTTTTCGAGACAAGAAGAGAACGCCTGGACTGCCTCTGCGCTATCGCCGCACGACGGCTTCGGGATCCACGGATTGGGTCCCGGTTTTTATCGTTTCCATTTCCTAGCGGCAGGGCCTTTTATTACCCCAAGGCATTCACCATCCATCTTTCGCCAGAGAAATACTGCCAGCCCATTGGCGAGATGGATCGTTTTGGAAAAGGAGGCTTCTGGGACAACGAAACACTTGGCAGACCATGTCTTCACCGGAAAATGTCGGCATGCGGCGGGCACGGATGTCATTCGCTCACACTGTGGACGATTGCAAGATATGTGGAAAGCTTCGAACCGGGCTTTGGCATCCTTTGCATCGACCGGTTACTGGGCTTGAATCCGGTCTGGGCTTTTCCAAATCGGATATTGGGACGGCATCACCTTTTGAAGACGATACTGGTCAAAGAAGGGAAATAAGCGGTATATGATAGAAAATAAAAGACAATAAAGAACTCAAAAATAGTTCAGAACAGGAAGGCAGAGTCTGACCGTTGCCGACATATCCATTCACACCGTGTACGTTACATCACCTGCTACGACAAACGCGCCTGGCTTGGCCACGCAGTATTAAACTTATCCTCAGCACCGTACAGCACCCAAGACCACTTCCGCCTCACAGGCTACGACCAGCTACGTCATATGGTCAGCTTGTAATCCATGACATATAGGGGAGTGCTTACGCTGATATGCGTACGAGCATCCAGTAGTATTGCACGATACGGTACTCGCGTGGCCCACGTCTGTCTGATCGCGTTCAGTTTACAGCGAGCCGTCATCATTTCATGAACTTTAAGTCAGTGACACTCGTTTACTGAACACTCGCCCCGGCCCCAGCCAAGCTCCGCGCTCAGATCGATTACCACGATCAATGGTTGTTAAGCAGGTAGCTGTGGATGGTGTGTCACTTGATACCGTTGTGCCGATTTTCCACCTGGCGATCTGACATGATGAGACCTTTCCTGACCTCTGGGACCTGATCCCTTTTACAGTCCGCCCACACGCGTTGCACGTGCCTGGCGGGAGCGACGGCGCTCACGCAGCGGGCGGCTGACCTGATCTGACCCTGCTGACCTGCCCTGCGCTGAGTCGACCTGCCCTCTGTTCCAGTGCGTCCGTTCATGGAGCAGGCGCCGGCGGACGCCACTGTGCTGGCCGGCCAGTCTGTGGACCTGGCGTGTCGAGTAGCCGGCGACCCGCCGCCCTCCGTGTACTGGCGCCGCCAGAACGGCCGCATGCCCGCCAGCAGGATCAACGTGGCTTGCGAGGACAAGAACAGGGCTGCCGCATCGAGTCAGGTGGCGGGAGCGGCCGCAGGACGACGGGATCTAGCGTCGGCGAGGAGGCCGAACAAACCCGGCGTGGGGCAGCGTCACCGCCTCGGCCGCCGTCACCGTCCACTGTGAGTCCCCGCTGCAGGCTGTCCTGGAGTCAACCGTGATTCCACTCTGCGGGCTGTCCTGGAGTCCACTGTGAGTCCACTTTGCAGGCTGCCCTGGAGTCCACTGTGAGTTCACTCTGCAGGCTGTCCTGGAGTTCACCGTGGGTCCACACCGAAGATTTCTGAGCGTCCTCTGTCCATACGGATATGTAATCACTGGTCCAGAATTTGTTGTCCAGAGTTTTGTTGTCTATTATTCCTTCTGCTGTTTAGTTTTTTTGCGGCAGTTGGCGCGATAAATTGCGACGCCAAGTGACCTGGGATGTTGAACGATGCGTTGAACACACCAAACATTGGTTGAACGAGAGTCTGGAGTCGGCGGGGAATCCAGGCGAGTGCGATACACGAAGTTTTTGTACTAGTACATGATAGATCTACGCACCTGGTGCATACATGTGGAGTCCATACAGCCGGCACATACATATGGAGCCCATACGGGCGCAGCGCACGGCACGGAACGCCATGTTGGTAGGATGAAGGCATGTGTGCTGAGCAAGACGTGTGGCTTGGACGCCCTGGCACGCTCGCGCGGATTAGCCGGGTTTTGCATACGCTTTTAGCTGGAACCCGCGGGCAGGGAATCACGCGGTGTATGATTTACGGCTCCCAGGTACGCGTTTGCGCCGGGAACGTTCATCAGGCTTTGCGTGCAAGCGCGATGCCACCACTAGCCTCTAATTGAAGTATAAAGCGTGCACAATGCGCATCCACCGTGAAGAATGGGTGCTTCGCTGCCAACGCAGGGCAATGTGAGTGGTTTGTATAATAGGAGCAGCGATTATAGGGTTATAGATTAAGCCGATGAATAGAAGCACTTCATAAGACGGATTGGTCGATGCCGGCGAACAAAAGCGGCGTGTCAAGCGAGATGGGGTGAAATATAACGACCATGGAAATCGGATGGGTCCGTGTGCCGTAGCAGTTTGTCATATTGGCAGAGTCTCATTGTTCGGCAAGAAATCAATGCACAATAATGTCATGCACTATTTATTGCAGTTGAGACTGTATGGGTATGTTTGTACTCCAACTAAATGTGATGGAACATGATTTTGCTTTGATTGACCTAGGCTTGAGAAATGAAGCGAAGATTATCGCCTTGGAGATGTTTACGAAGACTGTGACCTAAGAATCTCTTATGTGTTCACCTGTTCTGGACGACGCTTCTTCCGCCGAACGTTTCCTACGTCGGCGACTTCGCGCCATCCCGCGGAGCGTCTGGTGAGACCCCCCGCCCAGACACCCCCTCGCCGCCCTGCTGACCTCGCCCCGTCCCCAGCGCCGCCGTCGTTCGAGCGTCCTCCAAGGGACCGGCGCGCGGCGCTCGGCGCCAGCGTTACCCTGGAGTGCGGCGTCGCCGGCCACCCGCCGCCCATCGTCTTCTGGGCGCGCGCCGGCGCCGACCACGCCATCTTCGCCGGCGGCGCGCGCGGCCGCTTCCAGGTGGGCGCCGACGGCAGTCTGCGCATCGAAGCGGCGCGCCGCGCCGACCGCGGCTTCTACGCGTGCACGGCGCTGAACGTGGTGGGCTCGGAGGTGGCACGCGCCCACCTCGAGGTGGCCGAGGCGGGCCGCGTGCGGCCGCCGCCCGTGCTGGCCGTGCTGCCCGGGAACCAGACGCTGCCGCTGAAGTCGCTGGCGCTGCTGCCGTGCCGGCCGGCGGACGGCGCGGGGGCGAGCGTCAGCTGGGAGAAGGACGGCCAGCCGATCAGGCCGGACGACCCGCGCACGCCGGTCGATGAGCACGGCTCGCTGAAGGTGGACGGTGAGTGGCGCGCGCGCGGAGGGGCAGTGACGGGGGACAGTACAGGTGCCAGGCTAGATGGCAGTCGAAGAGGAATGGATGGATGAATGTAATCAAGCTAAGCCGTATGGAATAGAAGTGCGATGCTTTAAGTTAAAACAAATATCAAAATATACAATCTTACAAAGACAAAATGGTTGACAAAAATCACGCGCCAAAAACGGCGTTGGAGCAGTACGTAAGTGCTCCATAATGGGGTCAAAGCGAGCACTGCATGCGCCCTAGAGGCGGAGGAGGAGGAGGCGCCTTCGCTACATTCCAAGCACCAGACTAACGTCACTCCCCATCGCGTGCGTTACAGACCTCCAGCTCTCGGACAGCGGCCGGTACCAGTGCACGGCGCGATCGTCGGCCGGCTCCACGTCCGCCACGGCCACGCTGACAGTGGCCAACCCGACCAACCCCAACATTCAGTTCCGGCGGCTGGCCGAGCCGGCCACGTACCCCTCGGCGCCGCAGCGGGCGCGCGCCACCGGCCGCAACGAGACGGCGGTGACGCTGGCCTGGCGGCCCGGCCAGCAGATGGGCGGCTCGGCGCTGCGGGGCTACACGGTCGAGTACTACAGTCCGGACACGGGGCGCGGCTGGGTGACGGCGGCGCGCCACGTGGCTGCGGAGGCCGCCACCGTCGCCGGCCTGCGCGCCGACACGACGTACGTGTTCGGCGTGAGGGCCGAGAACGGCCAGGGCCTGTCGCCGCTGTCGGAGCTCACGGCGCCGGTGCACACGCTGGCGGCGCCGCCGGAGGGCGCGGCCGGCCGTCGTCTGGCGGAGGCCGCCCGCAGGCTGGAGAGCTTCACTGTCCAGCTGAAGACAGCGCGCGCCGTTTCGGCCACCGCCGTCAAGCTCGGCTGGAAGGTAGGGGCGACGTGGTTCGTCGTGGGGATGGTAAAGGCAGCGGGACATCTACGGAAACGTGCTAGCGAGGGAGAGAAAGAGAGAGAGAGAGAGAGAGAGAGAGAGAGAGAGAGAGGAGAGAGAGAGGAGAGAGAGAGAGAGAGAGAGAGAGAGAGAGAGAGAGAGAGAGAGAGAGAGAGAGAGAGAGAGAGAGAGAGAGAGAGAGAGAGAGAGAGAGAGAGAGAGCGAGAGAGAGAGAGAGAGAGAGAGAGAGGAGAGAGAGAGAGAGATAGAGAGAGATGAGAGAGAGAGAGAGAGAGAGAGAGAGATAGAGAGAGAGAGAGAGAGAGCAGGAGAGAGAGAGAGAGAGAGAGAGAGAGAGAGAGTGTGTTATTGTGACGTTGGACCCAGGAGTATTGTATGCGTGTAGCCGGTGCGGGTTTTATTGTCAACAAGAAGGCCTTAGTGCCTGAATTTGAATTCAGTCCCGAGGGCAACTCTGAAGAATGCTGGAGGGCGGCGTCACTTGCGAGAAACCTTTGTCTGCATTGTGACGGCATTAGCGCTAAACGGTGATGCATTGCACATGACAGACGAGGATTACTTGTCATGATAAACGATGACGGCCCGGTTAACGAGATAAACGGGGGACCTGATTTATGAGACCACCTCCCGCTTTCCTGCAACGCTTTCGCAACGAACGAAAAAACCTCTTCTGCACCACGAACTAAACCTGACCAGAAGCCCACTACGTCCTCGCGTTTCAGATTCTGACGAACGCGGACTGGGTGGAAGGCCTTCTGATCCGGTACCGTGACGTGACGTCAGAAACATTCAGCACCCTGAGCATCCACAACTCGGGTAACAGCGCGTACATCGTGGCGGACCTCGACAAGTACGCCACCTACCAGTTCTTCCTGGTGCCATTCTTCCATTCGGTGCACGGCCGGCCTTCCAACGTGCAGGTGGCCCGCACCCGTCAGGACGGTGGGTAATCGATCGACAGTGGGTGCAGCGCCCTCGCCGTCGTTTCTGTTGTTCAGGTGGCAGGTGTCTGCGCTACGTGTGGTACGAATTCAAGATGCTGTGTCGTTGGAGAGTGATCCTCCTAAGCCGTACTTGGTGTTTTTGATGTGCACAAAGTGTGCTTAGTTTGCTGGTATGGATAATACGGATCACGCACACTGCTGATACGAGCCCCTGGATCGCTAAGCAGTCACAAATTAGCGTAAGCTCACAGCGACAAGCCCTTCGCTTCAAACGTGCATTGCATTGCAAGTCGTGATTAGCGAGCGTTAGGACGGCGTTGACCAGCAGCGGCGACCTTCCGGCAGTGCCGAGTGGTCCTCCGCTGAACCTGGACGTGCGGCTACTCAACTCCACCGCGGCCGTCGTCTCGTGGCTGCCGCCGGCCGAGCGCGAGCGTAATGGCGTCACCACCGGCTACCGGCTGCAGCTGAGCCAGAAGGAGGCCAGCTTCCGCTTCAACGTGACCGTCAACGCCAGCACGACGCAGGTGATCCTGAAGAACCTGACGGCCGGCGCCGGCTTCCTGATCCAGACGGCTGCCGTGAACCGCGTCGGCACGGGGCCGCTGTCGCCGCCGGTGGCGTTCCGCATGGCGGCCGACACCAGCGCCCCTGGCGGCGGCGCGCCGGACTCGCGCCAGGTGTCGGCGTCGGGCAGCGTCGTCGGCGAGGCGTGGTTCATCGCCACCATCGGCTCGGCCGTGCTGCTGCTGCTCGGCGTGTTCGTCGCCGTCGTCTGCTGGCGCCGGCGGCGGGAGAAGAAAGCGCTCGGAAATCTCACCGGTAGGTGGAGCGGCGGAGATCGACGGCGCCGGCGGTGGGGAGAGTGGTGCTTGGATCATCAGGGGACCATTGACGTGCCAGGGTTCACTGGGGGCCGTAACCGCACCTGACACTCCGACGTGTCCCTGAGGAAAAAATCTGGCCGGTCTAACCCCTCGAACTGATTCGTCCGTTGTTGCATGACACAGTAGCTGCTCGTCATCCAACAAATGATGGATATGACCAATGATGATACCAGGGATACCAAAGCATTCGCAAAACTGAATGGGCCAAATGCCTTATGAATTTAGTTGAGTCCAAGTATCACCTTACGGCTTATGTTGAGCTCGTCAGGGGGGACGTGTCCCTGTGTGTGGAAATGACGGCCAATAGCGGGCATGACAAGCGTCCGTATTTAAAGTTTTCGGACTTGCGTGCCCCCCCCCCCCCCTCCCCGCTTCGTGCGACACCTCCGTCACCCGAAGCCTTCTCACTGTGTCTCTCTGCAATATGTGATCTTACCAGCACCTCTGTCCCAACGCCGTCAAGTTTTCCCTTTGACCCCCACACTGATCGTTACCGGCAGCCGCTTGAATGCGACTCTTGACTTGTGTCCGCTGACCAGTAGTTTGCAGCCGCTGACATGTCACCAGCCAACAGCTGTCACGTGCCACCAGCCAGCCGCTCACATGTCACCAGCCAGCAGCGCTCTGACCGGCATGCGTGGCCGACAGTGCCGTCGGGCAAGCCGGACGACATCTCGCTGCTGCCGCTGCACACGGAGCGGGGCCCGCTGTGGATCGACCCGGCGTTCGAGCGCGGCTGGCGCGGCGAGTTCCAGAAGGAGCCGGAGGCCAAGCTGCTCAACTGCGACGTGGCCGCCATGGCGCCGGCCGAGTACGCCGAGCTCGACCAGCGCGGCCTGTGCAGCTTCTACGGCGTCGGCGGCGGCCACCGCGACGATCAGGTGAGCCGTGGCGGGCTGTGGTGGTGCTGTCGGTGCCTGTCGCGCCTGCCACCTGCCTTACCACCTGACTGAGCGGCCGCCGGTGGCGACCACCTCTAGCTGCGTGACCCACCGTTCACGCGCGCACACAGCTTTACCTGTCTCACCCTGGAGCGCGCAGGCGCTCCGCGGACCCGCGCGCGCTCAGTTTGCCAGAACTGTCACCGATTTTTGACCCACGCTTTCGGTCACAGTATGCGTGCCTTTGTCACCTTTGTCACCTTTGTCACCTTTGTCACCTTTGTGCCGACCGGTGTCTGCCGCGTTCACTGCCACTCCGATCAATGTCTCACCCGGCAAACGCCACGTGCCCCGCCACCCACCACCACACGCTACAGTCACCACCACTCCCTCGGCGTCCAGAGCAAAGCTGCCTTGGTGCAGCTCAACGGAAATTATAAAAAAAACGCAAGATAGATGGCAGAACGATAGAGGCGTAGCCTAGCTGTCTTTGATCACAGTTGATATAATGTTCAGCCTAATGTGACTATTCATTTTGTCAGAGCATACCGTCTCCTCACTTGTCATTGCGTGCCATCCCTCACGCGGCGAGTTTTGCTGGTTTTATGCCGCACGTTTCCACTGCTCGAGTGGCCCGCACATCAACATTGCGCCCCCGGTCGGCAGGCGGACCCGGCGCCGTACGCCACAACCATGCTGGTGAGCGGTGCGTGCCGCCACCCGCGGGGTCGTCCGTGCGGCCCGGATGACGCTGGGCCCCGGCGCTCCGGCTCCGAGGGAGGCCCGGCGTACGGCGGCTCCAGCTCCGGCGGCAGCTACAGCAGAGGTGAGCAGCAGATGGGACTGAGGAGGCGGCCGGCGGCACGGAAGGATTATCACCTGGCTGGGTGATAATCCTTCCGTGGTGCTGCCTTGGTGCAGGCTGGGTTAAGGGTTGCCTAGCGGTTTGGTAGATAACGAGGAATTACGTACCAAGCACACGTGGCATAAAGACATAATCTTACGTACCGTGTGGTCAAAAAGCAGCGTCGGCGCCGTGCACAGGGCATCGTCACCAAAACCGTACCGTTATCCCACAGGCCCTCGGACGCCTGGCTACGACAACCACCCGAACCTGCAGTATCTGGCGGACGGCCAGGAGCCGCCTGACTTCAACGAGTTCGTGCCGCCGCCGCCACAGTGCCCGCCGCCCGACCTGACCTCGACCTCGCTCCGCTCCGCGCACTTCGCGCACATGCCGGCCACCGGTTCGGCAGCGTCGGTGCGTGGACTCGGGTCGCCGCGCGCGCAGCGCCGCCCCACGGCTGGCTCGGGAACTGGCAGTTCGCGGTCGGGCCGCTCGGGCGGCCGCCAGCCGCTGTACAGCGTGAGCGGCGAGCCGCGCGGCGCCCGGTCGCCGGAGGAGGCCTCCTACGAGTACGAGGCGGCGCTGGCCGAGCGACGGCGCGGCCGGGCCGCCGAGCCGCGCCTCCAGCTGCAGGAGCGGACGGGCGCGCCGCACCTGCAGCTGTACGGCGCCCCGGACGAGTCCGAGTTCTCCGACCGCGGCCCCAGTCCCGAGTCGTCCGTCAACGGCGAAGCCGGCGGCAGCTGGGAGCCGACCAGCTGCGACGAGGAGACCGACGACGCCAGCGCCGCCGCCGGCGAGGCCGAGAACTTCAGCGAGTCGGTTCTGCGGGCGGCGCGGCAGGCGGGCATCACTGTGAACGGGGTGCGCCCGACGGCGGGGCGCCGGTACCGGCCGGGCCGGCCGACCGAGGGCGGCGGCAGTCTACACGCGAGGCCGGCGCGCGCGCACAGAAAGCGAGGCCACGCGACGGCCAGTACACTGGACCGGCCGGCCGGCGCAGGTACGCGGCGGTCTAGAATAATAGACGGCCGGGGTACGGAGACCGCTTGAGGAGGTGCACAGTCCTGGGCCATTAGCGCCGCACCTGCTCGCCACGTTAGCAGCATGTAACGCTGACCTGTGCGGGCTGTCTGCTGTGATTTTACCTTCCATGGTGATTTGAGAAAGCTACGAGATGAGATGTGGACAGTATCCTGCCCAGCATGAGCCAAGGGTCTTCTAAATGCTGTCAAAATAAATACTTGTTTTTGGTGCCATTTGTGGCGCCCCATTGTCTGGCAAATCTTATGAATCCGATCAAAAGTATAAATCAGTTTGGAATATCATCCTTTTAAGCAGTGAATCAGATGCCTGATCTTTTCCCAGGTGCAGGACCTGACCAGTATCCAACAAACAACTTCAACCAGAGGAATTACCGAATAGCGGAGGAGGGCCTCAGCGAAGAGTGCGGGCCGCTTCTCATGAACGGCGCCTCGTGAACGACCGCAGCTGTCCACCTGGCTGTCTAGATCTGCGCTTCTGACAGCCTTCGGCGGCGATCACCCGCTCCCGTTCTCTCCCTCTGTCTCTCTCCTTCTCTCTTTCTCTGCAAGCTGTCTCGGCTCACCAGCGAGCCTCATCGCGCGGGGGATTCAGGGGACACGGGGTGGTTTGCGCTCGTTGGCTGCGGAGGCCGTCGCGTGCGCACAGGCGCGGCTGTGTCGAGCCAGCCGGCGTCGCCCCACTAGCGGGCGGCGGGCCGCGCGCGGTCGCGCGCTCCGTGAAGCCAGAGAGCGTCTCATCCCCGCCGGCCGCGCCGACGCCAGCGAGGCCTGCTTCAGCCTCGTCCGCCGGCACGGAACATTTCATTGGTGCTCGCAGCGTCCCGTCGCGTTTGCCGCGAGTGTCGACGGGTGTTGTGAGCCGCCGCCGCGGGCGTGGCCAGACTGGAAGCGGCTCCGGCGCACATGGCATACGTCATCATAACACGGCGGACATTCGAGCACGGCCGTGTGCTTCATAATAGCATCATCAGTGCATCGGAGTCATGGGGTAGCGGTGCATGCAGTGCAGAGCGGTTTTCGGGGCGCCTAGCCTGCCCGTTACATGCGCTAGGCTTGTGTGAGACGGGTCGGAGCGGCATTCGTCACCGAACAGGCGCGAGGTGACAGCGGAACAGGTGCGACTGCGCACGGCGCTCGCCGCGCTCTCTGCCACCCGGTTCGGTGCGCGTACGGGCTGTGATAATTTATACATGAGTTAATGTGTAGTGTGCTGCTGCAATAATTTCCCCTGTGATGACGCGTGTGTCGTGTCTCTACGTCGCGGCCTGCGGCCGGGGAGGGGAAGGGTGGGGCGGGGAGAGAGTGGGCGACTAGTCATGTTATGGCTCCACACTTTGCCACTTCTCAGTCGATGATGCCAATAAACGGCGGACGCTACAAGAAGATAAGTCGTGCACGAGCTCCGTGGTTTACGTGCGTTGTTTCGGTTTTATCGCGTGTCGTGCGTTTTGCCAAATGACAAAACGCACGGCGAACGGTATCGCGATGTAACTGTTAAGCATTCACGTGAGATACGAGAGAATGATGCGAGAGGATGCGACGTTTTTGGTTGAGTGACGGGCTCTCATCGTCACCTTCCGAGACCAAGGCACTTACACAGCTCGACAGAATGCCTGTGAGTTTAGCAGCGGCTGCTCAAGCCAGCGACACGGAACAGGGTTTAGTGGACTCGGGCGATATTTTAGTGATCTGGGTCTCGGGGACCTTGTAAAGCAGCAAGCCAAGGCCTTCACGGACTAGCGGGTAGATAAGCACTCTCTCTCTCCCTCCCTCTCTCTCTCTCTCTCCCTCTCTCTCTCCTCTCTCTCTCTCCTCTCTCTCTCTCTCTCTCTCTCTGTCCTCCTCCTCTCTCTCTCTCTCTCTCTCCTCTCTCTCTCTCTCTCTCTCTCTCTCTCCTCTCTCTCTCTCTCTCTCTCCCTCTCTCTCTCTGTCTCTCCCCCTCTCTCTCTCCGTCTCTCTCTCTCCCTCTTTCTCTCTCTCTCTTTCTCTCTCTTTCTCTCCCTCCCTCTTTCTCTCCCTCCCTCTCCCTCTCTCTCCCTCCTTCCTCGAAGCTTTCAGCGTTCCCGCTGGAGACGTGTCCTCCGGAGCGCGGGGACCGCGGCTCTGCCGACACAGATCGCCAGAGACCGTCGACCGTCGTCTCAGCCCGCACAGATCGTCGGTCGGCCGGCGTGAACGACCAGCAGTAAAAAATGACCTCTTAGACCGGGAAGGGAGGAGGAAAGTGTCGTGCAACACAAAAGACGTCTTCACAGATTTGCCTAGCTGGAAAAGCTCAGGAAAATTCGCCAGCTGTGCCAAACAAACGCTTCTTTCGTGGTGGGCTTTAGGGTGCATACAAGAGGCTGTTTTGCACATCGTCTGAGCCCAAGACGAATGCGCAAATAATTTGTTATGGAGTTATGACAAATTTAGAACTGGACTGAACGATGAAACATAAAATCCGAGCCCAGAAAATGTGTTGAAAGTGTGAAAAAAGAAGTGAAAAGTGTGCAACACGCGATTGGCAGAATTCCCATAAAGAGGTTCTTGCCAGGATCTCTTCAAGTGTCGGTAACGATTTCTAGCACGGACGTGGGCTGCTCAGTGGAGCTGTTAAACCCGTCCTCTTACCTAACGCGAGTGAGCTTGGCTATTTCACTTCACCAATCGCACTCCACACCAGGCCGGCTGCACCGCACACCTGCAGCCCCATGGCGAAAGACGCCAGCCAGACTGCGGTCGGCGCCGCTCCTCCAGGGGCGCGCGGCGCGCTCAGTGCGGTCACTTTCCCTCCGCCACGGCGGCGCTGCGCCCGCTGCCCGGACCCCGCGCCGGGCGCCCGAGAGTCCGCGTGGCGTGCGGACGGCAGGAGACGGGACCCCGACTCGGCCCGGTGGGTAACCTCGCCGTTTGTGGCTCCCAGGGGGTCGCCTATGGTACAAACCAGAAGCTCTGCGCAATGGGAAGCGGCGCATTAACGTGACCGGTATTCCAGCAGCATTTCCAGACGTCTGGCGATGGTGCACGCTTCCAATCAGCAAAAGTCTTGCAACATGTAGTGCCACTAGTCCATGTTAATCCAACCAGCCAAAAGCCTTATTGGGCGCTGGGAGGATTGAAGTGATGGCGTAGATGACAGGAGTGTAGTTTCCTATTTAGTTGGGGGGGGGGGGGGGGGCTTGGGTTTTCTATTTATCCCTACCACCTTGGGATACAGATCCCCTCAACTTGGAGTAGAAAGCGGGCCAAATCTGTTTTTTTGGCATATTCGTGGGGAGGGTGTAGGTTGGGTCATTTTTCATTGATTAGCCCCCGTTCCCCCAGCTCATTTGGTGGAAATGCACCGCTGGTAGTAAAATATCATAATGTGGGAGATACCAAAAACGAGGTAAATGTAGCTTATCCAAGATCGTAGGTACGAGCACAGGGACATGCGTCGCACAAGTTCAACATTAACCGTAAGGTGATGCTTGGACGGAACTAAGTTCATAAGGCGTCTGGCCCATTCAGTTTTGGGAATGCTTCTGCATCCTTGGCATCATTGCCGGTCACATCCATCATTTGTTGCAAAGGTTAGGATGGCTTACCGAAATGACATTCGCGTTATAATTCGGAAACCGCATGGCTTAGAAATTCACCAGCGACTTCATCAAGACCTAGCTTCCTGTCCTGCTGCTGCTTGCTCTTCGTGTCTTCCTTCCTCGGGGGACCATTGTTACCAGTGCATGGCATCCCGGAGCTATTAAAAAGCATAACTGGAAATAAGACAAGTTTACAATTGATCTGATGCGTCGCCAAACACTGTCCAAACTGTACGTCGTGTACCGATTTCAACTGTTTTGTTTATTTGCTTTAAAAACCACTTAAACTTAACACGCACCCGGTTGGCCGGTTGAATATCCTTCGCTCTGGTGGGGCGAGCGATTCGACCCCCCGAGGTCTCAACAGCTGCGGTAGCTAAAGACACCAAACGCGCATGGTGTGTTAACCTTTATGTAAGCTTTCGTGTAGCAAAATTTGAGATTCCTACACCATGACCTGCGGGTCAAATAAGGCCAAACGAGGTTAAACACAAAATTCACAGGGCGTGTCGACTTGTACATGAACTCACTGAGATCAAAGTTTGAGATTTCTAGATTATGACCTTCGGGTCAAACAAGGTCAAGCAAGGTAAAATTCCAGGCTGGTTTCCAAAGAATCCCTTAAATTCAGATAACTGTTCTAAGCAAAGAGGTCACGAGCTCATCAAAGTCAGTGAACTTTTCTGACTTTTTAAGGTCATGGTGACCAAAATCATGCAACACCGCTTTGAGTTTTGCATTTGGATAAATGACAAAGATTACGCTAGGAAGTATGCTCCTAGAAAAATTGTTAGCCCGGGTCATTCTAGGTCAATGACCTATTGTGACCTTTAAGAAGTATATGCAAGGTGTAAAATGCGGTTCTTGT